GAGAATTGAAAGGATCATCACTAAATGAGATATATATACTTTCCAAACGCAATTTATTTGGTTGATCTAAATCACCATCTTTCCTTCCTCATCTGTATGCTCATTAATACTTTTAAGTGATTAGGATAATTAAAAAAATCATCAAAAGTTTTATTTCCTTATAATTAATGTTACCGCATTACTGCTATTACGTATAAATAGAGGTTTGAAGGACTGATTTTCATCTGTGAATCCATCTATGTAATCACAATATTCTCAGGTCATACCGACTTAGGGTGAATCTGTTTAGCAGAACAAAATAACTTAGTTTGTGGTTTTGTCAACTTATTTATCCTTAGAGGAAGAATCTTCCTTACGCTCAATAGTAGTAAGCTGAAATAATTTTTTGGTAGAGCTGTTTTACATAAGGCTTTAGACGTAAAAAATGGCTTATTTCGATTGTGGATCAGTTTAATCTTGCTTCTAACTTCGCCCTAAATATGTGCTAAGAGGCTAACTAACCTTAATGGTGCTTAAAATGAATCCTAAAAGTTTTGTGTGCCCATGCTATTCCATGGGTAGACTACTAATTTCAGTTTCGAATGCCTCCATTCAGAAAAGTCGCATGCTCTTTGCCCACTTAACAAACTATTCATGCACCATATATAGTATTATAAACGTTATGTAAAACCTGGATAAAGTTAGATAGCGATTTGATCTAATTTTTCCATTTTTATTCCACTTAGGTCGTCAAAGAATTGGTTTGGCTAGTGGTTGGCTCTGTAAATTTAAACCATATGCTCCAATTCGCATGCCAATCTTCATCCAGAAGAGCTCTTTCAAGGCCCCAGATGACGCCAGCATTCCACTTATTATGATTGGGGCAGGAACAGGCGTTGCTCCATTTCGAGGTTTCATACAAGATAGAGCTTACAAACTCTCATCTGGATTTACTTCTAAGCAAGGTTAGTATCGTGATTTTAATTTATCTTCCATTTTTATACTGCTTTGAACACCTTCATTTCCTGTTAATGTCTCTTTTTGCCACTTAAGGTCCAAGAATTAAGTTAAGTAAGAGTTTTATTTACCCTAGGTCGCATAAGGTAATCTAGGACTA